ATATTATTTAAAAAAAATAATAACAGAAAGAGTTACGATAAAAAAATAAATTATATCCAAAAATGATTTTTTTATCGTAACTTTTTTTGTTATTATTTTTTTTAAATAATATTTTAGCACAATGTTAGCACAACTTAGCACAACTCAGCACAATCAAAAAAATTGAAAAAAAACAAAACAAAACAAAATTAGACATGTGTGTGCCCTGCTTTAACGAAAATCACAACTTCTATAAAGCAGGAGGTCGATTTTGTATTTTGAAACGAGGTGAAAATTACAAAAGTGAACAGATTTACTAGATTTCGACAAATGAAATTGTAGATTCTCATGTGAATTTCCTCATTTTTGTAATTTTCACCTTGTCTCAAAATACAGAATCGACCCCCAGGGTCATGTTCCAAAACTCACTCTAGTTAACCAAAATGCTATAGTGTACATACGTGACGTAAACTATAGATTTTAGTTACCCAGAGTGAGATTTGGAACATGACCCAGGGCATACACGTGTGTGTGCCCTTCTTTAATGAAAATCACAACTTCTATAAAGCAGGACATACACACGTGTGTGTGTGTGCCCTGCTTTAACGAAAATCATTAAACAGTTAAATACTTTTAAAGCGCGTTACTAACCTACATAGGTTAGTTGACGCGCTTTAAACACTTAAATACTGTTTGACATCGTGCAATTCAGTGCGGGAGGTCGCGTCATTTCGGGAATTTGATGCATGGTTTAAGATATTCTAAATTGCTCCCGCAACTTGTATGCACACGAGTAAAGCAATCAAAAGAATAAAATTCCATCGCGTCATCGTAATTGTATTTCAAGTGGCCTCGTCAAGATTAAATTCGTCGACGTTACAGTATGGCATGGATCTTTCTATCGCTCGTATTCGCTAATTGCTAGCAATAACATAGCCACAGCTGACCGAGTGCACAAACAAAGTCAAGCTACCGCTCTCACACAATAGAAAGATCCATGCTATAAACAAAGCGAGCGCAAACATGTAACGATTCCTTCGGGTCGTCACGTGAAAACGGTGACGTAGGCCGCCGATGGCCAATCACCCTCTCGAAATTCGTGGAAATTTGCCTGGAGGGAGTTTCGCCTCGAAGGTGATAAAACGACCGCCGCTGCGGCGCGGGATCGATTTCGTTCGCAGATCACCGCTAGTACACCGCTTTGTACCGCTTAAACCGCTTTTCGCTTCGCCATCCGCACTTGCATTCTCACCTGCGCTGCGATTCATTTGCGTTTCGCCGCTTTTGCCGTGCTAAATTTTGTGCGCGCTCACGGCTCTTCGCCTGAAAAGGACTGTAAATAACTTGTACATATCTGATTTTTTTGGACATTATAAACTTTATTTTTTTCTGTACTTGCAATAAAAAAGTGATCACTTTCCGCCCTAGAGAGGAAAGTGGTTACTTTCGTCCCGCTATGCCGTCCTGGCGTGAAATGGCCACTCTCGCCTCTCTCTATGCATGGAGGATGGAGGTCGAACTTTCCGTAAAGATATTGTGAAAAATATCGTGTGCACCTCGGGGCGACAGCTTTTTCAGACTCGTGTGATTTGCCGCCCTCGCCTTCGGCTCGGGCGGCAAATCACACGAGTCTGAAAAACGCTACTTTCGCCTCTTGGTGCACAATATACTATTTCTTACCCCCATCCCCTTTGGTGCATTATTTTTAACCCCTGCAATTTTTTATTCTTTTCTAGCCGTTTTATTGTTGTACTCGACTAGCACAATTCAGCACAAGTCGCAAAATTTCATTCCCTGTCACGGTTCAATAGTTATAGCGGTTTGAAAATTGTAATTCCTAAAAACTGCTTTCTTTAGATACTTGTGCTGCGTAAACTAACGATTTGCGGACATTTTGTCATTAGGAAAAGTTATTGTACTCACCAAACACAACCCGGCACAATTTTACAAAATTTAAAAATGTAAAGTTTTTTCTCACCCTCATTTTCCCCCCTTCCTTAGCCCATTATTTTTAACCCCTACAACTTTCTATGCATCTCCGGCCATTTCTTTGTTGTACTCATCTAGCGAAACTCAGCACAGCTTACAGAAGTTCGGTAAATGCGTTTTAAAAATAATTATTTGTTATTTTGTTTTTGAGATTTAATATTTTTTATCTGCCAAATGAAAAGAGATATTGAGTTTATTCCAACGGCACAACGTGGCACAAATTACTACCTATCAACCAAAAGAAATTGGGTTTATTTCGGGAAAAGTGCGGGGCTAGTATAATTTTGTTTTTATTTTTTTTCTTAATTGTTATCGAAGTTATCAATCTCGCGTTTGCGGCACAAGTCAGCAAAAATGCAGCACAATACGGCACAATAAAAAAAAAAAATGAACGCGTGGTCGCCACGCGCGTTAGAAGTGAAACTTCTGAAGGCAAGGCTTTGCCATAACTTTTCTGAAATTAATACAAAAACACTGCAACGGAATTAAGGTGGAAGCACATAAAATTACAGGAGCCATAGGCAGACTGCAGAAGCCATAGCGCATGCGCTGTGGTATTACTTTATCTGCTTATGGCAGAATGGCAGATATCATAGCGCATGCGCTATGGTTTCTGTATTCTGCCCATGGCTTCTGGATTTTCAATCTACATAAAAATACATAATGCATAGCCACGGGAATAGGCACATACATTCTCCTTGTAGTCGGTCCTTCTAGAAAAGTGATCGAGAAGAAAGAACGGATTTATATTGATTAACACGTAAGTATTCTCATTATTTAAGTATCAACGTAATGAAATTACGAACTGACAGTGACCGTATATAATTATTAGTGTGAATTGTCTCAGTTTCGTAAACATAGTGTTTTGAGGTTAATTTGATTTTGTGAACAAATTAGGTGAACTGAGCAAAATTGATATCAGTGCCGAAGTATCCAAATTGCTTTCTACTCTGAAGGCTCAGAGCTCTGCGACTAACAAGACGCAAGCAAACTCGAATCAAGACGCGATGAAAGCCAAATTGGCGCAAGATCCGAAGACGGATAGCGAGACGTCGTCGAGTCCGAGGTGATCACCAGAAATTGTAATTTATTGCAAAATAAACGCATCTTTTCATAATTTTCGGTATATTTCATGTTTAATGCTTTAAATTTATAGAATCGATCTTCATGGCATACGATCACACGGATTACTGTCACAATAATAATATAAACATGTCCGAAAATGAAGAAAATGAAAACCTGAATTCTGAAGTGACGTTGGTGGACGACGAAGATAAAAATTTTGATGATTTGTTAATAAGTATTGTGAAAGAATATCCACATCTATATGACAGCAGTTGTAAAGATTATCGCGATGTGATAAAAAAAGAGAACTCTTGGTTAGAGATATCTAAAATTTTGGCCACGTCTCGTAAGTTTTATTTTTAAAAGTTTAACAATATTAACACACAATAAGCTATTCAATTCATTATTTATTTATTTATTTATTATTTATTTTTTTAAATTTATTTTTAGGTCGTTCACTTTACTTGTAACGTCGTAACCGTTACTTTATTATAACAACCATTTGGTAACAATTAACGTAACAATTTTTTATAACGCTAATGGTAACACCAGGATGGGAATGCCACTTTTGAAACTCATTACCATTACGTGTTATACTTAATGAAAAAAGTAACTTGTTACTTTATTCGTTACGTAACGAGTAAAAGTAATGCATTAGTAACAACGTTATTTTTACTCGTTACGTAACGATAGTAACTGTAACTGTAAGTGTAACTGTAACTGTAACTGTAAGTAACTGTATTTAACATATATTTCAGCGGATGTTTGCTGCAATCGGTGGACTCGTCTGAGAGAATCTTACTCTAAAGAAAAGAAAAAAAGACAAAATGAAACGGCAAGTGGAAGTGGAGCCTCTAAAAGACGAGGATTTATATACTTCGAGTCTATGAAATATATTGACAAATTTGTCAAAAGTAGAAAGTAAGAATTCCTTACATTTGATTCTAATTGACATGTTTTACCACATTTTTATTAATCCACAAATTTAATCAAATATAATATGGTTTCAGATCGATAACCAACATCAAGTTACAAAAAACGTATAATATTTCTGATTGTTTAAAAGACAAGAATCTAAATAAAGAAATTTCAAATTGGGTGCAGCATGGCAAACAGACTCTGGAAAAAGAAAGAACTCCTTTGGAACAAATTGATGCAAACATATTTTCACCAATAAAAAAATGCCCAATACCGGAAACATCACCCACTATTAGTAATTTAGATGATGCGTCACGCGCATCTTTTCCTTCGACGACAGAAAGTAGTGCAAACGATTTCGAACATGAATTATTGTCAACTCGGTCATCATCCGACACGACTAACTTTTCACGCCTTTCTCCAACGAGCGTAAGATCTACCGACACTTTCAAAAAGCCGTCATATGCGAAGGGCAAATTTAATCCTAATATATCAATTAAAAAAGACGGAAAAAATACAGAATCTGAAAACGATAAGTTCGAAGCGTCTTTTATTAATTTCAATCAAGCTATTACAGAGCATTTGATTTCTAAGGATGCAAACACTTTATTTGGCAATTTGGTTGTGGCGGAATTACAAAAATGGGATGATGATATACAACAAGTCAAGAAACAAGAAATCATGAAAATTTTGTGGAGAAAGGAAAACCTATGAGCGAGATGATTTTTGTGATAAAATAAATAATTTGCATTTATTCGTAGATACATATAATATTAATAATAAGATATAATATTAATGTTTTAAGATGATACATATGATACATATAATATTAATGTTTTAAGATTGTGCGATATTAATTTTAGTAATAAAATATATGTGTACTGGTATACCTACTTTATTATTAATATGTGAGCGAGATGATTTTTGTGATAAAATAAATAATTTGCATTTATTCGTAGATACATATAATATTAATGTTTTAAGATTGTGCGATATTAATTTTAGTAATAAAATATATGTGTACTGTTATACTGTATATATATATATATATATATGTTATACTGTTATATATGTTATACTGTTTATACTGTTTATTTTATATTCACACAATAAATACATATTAGCATTACATTTCACAATATGACACGTATGTAATCAATCAATCAAATGTTTACATGTAGATAAAGTCTTGATTTTGTCCTCTCGTTACATAATCATGCTGCCAATTGACCATTCCATTTGGAGTCATAAAATAATTGCAAAGAGAGTCCCTAATGTGCGTCGCAAATGCTGCACCATTTTCGTTATTTTCAATAATTTCATCATTGTTTTCAAATTGTAAAATATTACCTTCTTTGTTTCTTAAGAAATTGTGCAAACATACAGTTGCCAAAATATATTTATTGATATTATCAGGAATCGCAGCGATCGGTCTGTTATATATGCCCCACTTTTTTGCCAAAATCCCAAATGTATTTTCTATTATACGCCGGGCTCGCGAAAGTCTATAATTAAATATGTTTTTGTGTTCCCCCAAATACCGTCCAGCATATGGCCGCATCAAATGCTTTCCAATGGGAAATGCTTCATCCCCAATAAAAAAATAAGGCACTTGTATATCGGTTCCGCTTAAGCAACTGGTTCCTTCTGGAATATCCAGCATCTCATTCGTCACATTCAAGTCGCTGTTCCCATAAATTCCCGCATCACTGTTCTTCCCCATTGACCCAATATCCACCAAAGTGAATTGATAATTGTGATCACACACAGCCAAAAGTACGATGCTGTATCGTTTGTGATAATTGAAGTACAGCGTACCAGAATTAGGGGGGCATTGAGCATCGACATGTTTTCCATCAATTGCCCCCAAGCAATGTGGAAAATTCCATAATGTCCAAAAACCCTCAGCAATTTGTAAATATTCTTCTCTTGAAGGAGCTCGTAGATAGATAGGACTAAGAAGTCTTCCAAATACGTCACACGTCTCTTTAATTATTTTATGTACTGTTGATAAACCAACACGATAGGCAAAAGCAATTTCTGGAACTTTGTCTCCAATCAGAAATCTGTAACATCATTATCAATATTATAATATTAATTGCCAAACTGTTTTTACACATATGTATTGTTAGACTACAAGTAATCCAAACACATACCGCAATGTAACAGCAACTCTTTGCTCTGGTTCAAGTGCCCGTGGACTTCGTTTCATTAAACTTGGATTAACAATGTCCATTAAGTGCTGGAATGTTGGCAGTGTCATACGTGTATACTTGTGGAACATTTGCGGATCTGTTTTCATCTCCTGAAAAAAATTGTAAAACGCTCCTTGCTGTCTTCTCCTTGTGTTAATTGGTCGTATCCAGACACGCCGACGGCGACAATGACGTTTAGGTTTCTACGACGTTGCACCAAAAGTGCTTCCATGTTGACCAGAGCAATTAACAACAAATCATCCATTTCTGTGAAAAGACAAATGTAATTCAATCCAATGCAGTCTTCTCGAATTAAAATCACATTCAGAATTGTATGAACTAATTGCAAAAACGTTAAAGAATGGCCAAACAGCGCAAACATCAAATATCAAAATGAGTGAAAAATATTCAATGATACATAAAAAATAATAAAGTATTATTCCAGAAAATTAACCAAATCAAGAGAATGTTTTAATAATGAATTTTTACACCTAAACTGTATATAAAACTTACCGAAAATTATGAGATGATGCGTTTATTTTGCAATAAATTACAATTTCTGGTGATTGCCTCGGACTCGACGACGTCTCGCTATCCGTCTTCGGATCTTGCGCCGATTTAGCTTTTGACGCGTCTTGATTCGAGTTTGCTTGCGTCTTGTTAGTCGCGGAGCTCTGAGCCTTCAAAGTAGAAAGCAATTTGGATACTTCGGCACACAAAATCAAATTAACCTCAAAACACTATGTTTACGAAACTGAGAC